TACGGCACGAAATGGCAGACGCACCATCACGCGTAATGTAACTCATTTCAAAGTAGTTAAACCTGTAGACGAACAAAGTAGTGATGAAGAGAAGTCAATTACCGTGGAAGATGCACAGGACAACAGGGTCGGAGATGATATGCAGGACTTTATAGAAGAAAGTCACCCGATAGCAAGAAGATCAACGAGAAATCAACGACCTGTAAATAGATTTGGTCACTCAATACCACCGGGACTTATTTCATAGAACTTTAGTATGATATGAACAATAACGAATAAATCATAGTTATTCCGTTGAGTTTTGAAAAAAAAAAAAAGAAGAGAACAATGTAGTGATTGACAGTTATACATAATTTATAGAATAAACTTCCTTCAATAGCTGTATTAGGCTACGAGTTAACGTCTGGAGACTATGCAATGTTTTTGGTAGAAACGGTTTTCATCAAAATTGCATGATGATAAATAGCAAATGCTGGCCATGAATGTTCATGTTATATACTAATAAATGTGCTTAGACTAAGATCGTGTAAAGTACTAAAGGCAAACATTTCATAACTTTATCGTTTTAATAAAGAAATAATATGGCTAATATTTTATAATTTGATAACATGATCATTGGCTTCATCACCGATGATGATATCCAATTATTTTTTACTAAACCGGTACAGGGTGTATAAAAAATAGGTACGCTGTAGCGTACATGGCTTCTACTGATCAAAAACAAAGAATGTCAATGCCGTGCTGCTTACATTTGCATTTCCAACTTTCGAGTGGGGAAGATTAAAATATCTCGGTAAGTATTTTTCCGCCATTTAAAACGAAAACTACCGTTGAAATCTTCATAAAACAACCTTTCCAACGGTAGGTCAAATGCTGTCGTAACATTCTAACATTCTGTATTTCATATCGAGAAAAAGTTGAATATCTTCCTAAACTCTTCAGAATAAGTCAATAGGAGTGAAATACTCCTTGCATTCAAGCGCTTTCGTGTAGAAAGTTTCGTTTGAATACGGCAGACTAGAAATATTTATTTTGAATTTTTCAGAATATCGGGTTCTTATACTCGGTACATGAAGGGGTGATTTACGGATTTGACCTTTAGAATCGATTTCCGACGTTTCCCGTGTGCTAACTGCTAACTAGGATGTTTACATCGCATTGTTTCAATATTTCAAGCTGTATTTCCGGTCGAAACTCTCGCGTAAAATTTGGATATTCTAAAATACCGAAATAAAAGATGCAAATCTGTAGATACAAACTTGCAAATAACACTCTAAATAGTGTCTTGGATTGTGATTCGAACAAGACTATTACGAAAAAGATAGGTTGAAAGGGGCCGAAGTTATTCGGCCAAAAGTATGGCTTAGTGATACAATGTCGTATACATTGTTTACATTGTTCGAGTGTATTGGATATTTTATAATAACGTCGGAAATCTCAAGGCCGGACGTACGGCATTGAGTAATATGCAAAGTAATGAATGATAAAACCATTTATCGTAAACAGTTCGGAAACTTTCGTAGAAGCGCGGGCTTTAACCTAACCAAAGAGCCTGTTCGCAGGAAAAGTAAACCGTCCTTGTGGAGTGATGTCGACAGCATATGGCGACTACTGTTCCAGTAGACGCCTAAAACGGAATCCTTGATTAAAATTTACTCGTTCACATGCATCAGAAGAAAATCGTACTAAAAATCGCAGTAAAAATTGCAATTGTAAACGGGCCTTAAAGCTTAGCCCATATAAAAAAGGTTGTCCTTTGCAAACCTTAGGCCCGTATTCTAAATGCTCACTCACACTCAATGAGTGGAGGTTCAATCTGAGCTTCTCTCGAGTGTCATTGCTGTTTTTGAATAGCTGGAGGGTATATAGTAAGCTAAGTATGACACTAGCCCTCCAACTATTCAAAAACAACAATGACACTCGGGGGAAGCTCGCATTGAACTCCCACTCATTATTGAGTGTAAATGAGCTTTTAGAATACGGGCGTTAAACTCTAAACCTCAAACCCTAAACTCTGAACGTTATGGTTCTGAAATAGAATTGAAACACTGCGCGTCCTCTAAGACAAGCGTTAAGTCGTCACGAAAATATTTCGTGCACTTAAATTGGATAAGACTCGCTACCAATCCCTGTTGACTCGATAGCTCAATAGGTAGAGCGGCGGTCTAGATATGCAAAGCATAATGCAGGGTTTTTTTCAGGATTTTCTCTTGGGTCCGTTTTTGCAGAGAAGATTGAGTTTAGCTGAACAGCTAGGGTGGCTGCACCCCCCCCCCTCCCTACCGGGGGGCTGACACTTGTACTCAATAAATGTAGTTGAGACAGAATGTGTTAAAGCAGGGGCACTAAGGGACACTATAAACTGGTTAAAGATGGCGAATGCATAGTTTTTCTTGTGTTGTGAGATGAATTCCAGCCATTTTTTCTTAATTGTCGGGTTTCCAATTGAAAAATAATTTCCACATGTCACGAATTTAACTCAAACAACTTCATTTTTACTGCACTGAAACTATGGTGAGAGGATTGAGTTTCAAAACTCAATTCAAGATTGAGTTTTTGGGGCCGTTTAACGGCCCTAAAAAATCCCTGGAAAAAACCCTGTAATGGGAGCATCATTTAATCAGTTTAGAAATCATATATGGGGCCCATTTCTTAGAGACATGGTAAATATCTCCTTACGAGAACAATTCATTCACAAATAGATGCAATATTCAGCTGCTAAGCTCGAAACTTTTGCTCCCATTAAGCTTTGCGCGCTTAGAGTTTAAGGTTTAAGTTTTAGAGTTTAAGATTTGCATCAGCTGTATTGCAAAAATTATTGCCAAACTGAATTACGGTGATATAAAATTGATAAGATTTTGTCTACCTTTGCAACAACGATTCCTCGCTCTGCTTGATAGTCAAACAGTTCATCTCGTAGTTAAAGAAGCTTCCAGTTCCAAAATCCTACACCAAATAGTAAGAAGCGTTGACATCAAATAAAATCAAGCAGCTAAAACGGCTATCGAAGAAATCGTTTCCGATGTTAAAGGAATCGAAACAAACAGCTTAAACGGCTATCGAAGAAATCGTTTCCGATGTGAAGAAATCGTTTCCGATGTTAATTTAAAGGCCCATTTTCACTCAGGAAAATTTTCAGCCGAAAGAAAATTTTGTAAAATTTGATTGGCCGACACAAATTTTCCGTCGGCAAAAATTTTGAAGATGAACATTTTCAACTTTTAACCATTATGTTTTCGGACAACTTTCTGTCCGTGGAAATTTTCCCGAGTGGAAATGGGCTTTAAGGTAAAACTGTGACTGTACCCAATATTAAAGATCACGGGAATAGATTCGAACTTATACGTTCAGATCCGAAATTACAGGTCCAGTGATCAATAAAATTATTTTGTGTTCGTACTTGAGACAACCAAAAAAAAGCTTCACAATTTAATCGTTGGTAATTGGGAACACAGAATATTTTTAATTCTCTGTGAATAAAATCAGGGAATTGTTAATGCAGCGAACGATTTTGCAATGAACAAAATGGAATGTTACCTATTTTCGACAACTTCGTCTAAATCTCGTGCTGTTTTCTCAATGCTTCCTCTTTCTTCTTCAATTTTGAATCAAGTTTTTAATTTTGCTCTGCACATTCATCAATCATCAAAAACACATAAACAAATATAAAATTTTTGCTCTTTCTCTATAAGCAAAAAAAACATGAATATGTTCACGGTATCAAACTTAACCACCTAAATTAATACAGTATATGTCAGATGAATCATTCACTTTCAGGCCTGTTTATATTATCCCGGCTATAGGAAGCATGAGACGTTTTCAACCCACCACATTCTAAAAAGTCACTGGTTAAAAATTCCTGGTTACTCAAAAATTAAGATTTTGTACTTTTTGTGTGTGTCGGTGTTATGTACTCAAGTGAATATGTTTGTGATGTTATTCTGAGTGTGCATCCACACCGGGCAATCTGAAAAGTTTGCCTAACCACGGCGGGAATTGAGCCCGCGACCTTTGGGATACTAGTCCAGGGTGTATAAAGAACGGAATCCTCGATTAAAATTTAACTTTCGAAGAGAATAATGTTTCTGTTTATACATTCATTCTACTTATAATTCTGTTACATTACGGAGTGATTCGATGGTATTCGTGTCGACATACAAGCCAAGGTATAAGGCTGGTTTTATGATCAATTTTGAACTGGATTTAGGAATGTGAGATAAAAAAATCCAATTATCTGTTAACAATGTTTTCTTGCTACTTTTTGTCGACGCGTGGCAACAACAACAGTATACTAAGATGTTTAAACATGCAAGAAAATTCAATTCAAACGCTACGATGAAATAATAAATAATTCTCTTGTGCATGCCGTCATTTGTTGTTCGGAAGCGAAACGAACAAGCTACGCCTTTTGTCACTGTATGATTTTCATTTGTTGCAATGTGCTCAGCCAATCAGAATTGTGATATACTTCTTTATTTTACCGAGAGTGAGATACTGAGAAATACACAGTGACATATTTTCCATATCTTTACTAGGGAAGATATCGATCGTGACTTTTAGTATTTATACAATTTTTTGCTTGAGACTATATAATAAACAGAACATTACACGGTGGCTTGAAAATATGACTTTTATCTTCTCGTGTTAATTATAAAAACAATATTTTACCGCTCACTCGCTGCGCTCGTTCGTAAAATATTGTTTTCACCACTTGAAGATGAAAAGTCATATCTTCGCGCCGCCGTGTAATATCCTCTATATATAAATTATTCAGAAGCAATACTCATATCAAGTTATAGTAGGGCCATTTATAGACGAGCCGTCGCAAACGACTCGTATTACGTATAAACAGTCGATTTGCAGAAAGCAGCTGCTCATTTTAGCGAACAAGTTGACTGTTTATATACGAGTCGTTAACTAGTAAATAAGTGTATATACTTAATTACACTTTTTAGCCGCCAAAGCAGAATCTAGAATTCATTCCCTATATAGATGATTCTATAATATATACAATGCATGTATATGTGCAGATTTGGAAATGTTTTACCACAATATAGATTGATATACTACTATATTTTACTACTGAAGCCGTCCTACATGGTGTATAATTTAACTTTCCAAGACTCAAGAGGATAATATGTTTCTGCATTTTCTGTGCATTACTTTTAATTCGTTTACTAATTTACATCAGGTTTAACTTCTATTGACATTACGGCGCGGTTCGATGGCATTCGTGCCCATATAGTGTAAAGACTAAAGGAATCAGTAAAGCCTAAAGCTGTTTATATTTTTGAACTGGGTTTGGATTTTAGAATACGAAGTAAAAAATAACCAAATTATTTAAAACTCAACTTAGCCTAAATTCAACTTTTCGGTGTACTATACGGAACTATTATTAACTACTAATCAACATTCACTAAATTTTGAAATTTAAAAATGTTTTTGATACGTTTCGGTACGCAAGCTTGATGTGGAAAACAAGCTTAAAATTAAGTTTAAACAAGAAAATTCTAGAATGTCTAGAATTACAACGCCACGCCTACGACGACATAATATAATAATTAATAAAATTGCATTTAGTAGCTAAAGTGTGGCAAATTTTCTCTTGTTCTCCCGTGTTTCGTGTCTATATAAATGTTTGCCAACGAATTACACTGTGTTTTTGGCTACTGAAATTAATTGTATTCCAGCACGCTAATAAAAAAGCAATAATCAGATAATAAAGTTATATTTATATAAAGAGTCATCAGTGGCAATATATTGCTTTGGGGAAAATATATATCTGTTTAAAACGATACTAGCGTACGTTCAGTTATATATTTGCTTTCATCGGGTATGGTCTTACTATGAAATGAACTGAAATGAAAGAAAATTGAAAATTCTGCAGTTTATATAATATTTTATCTAAATGTTCTAGCTTTTCGATAAATGAAAAAATGAATCATAAGATGCAAGATACAGGGGAATTACATGTCTATAAATTTTTGCCAACCTGCAATTATATACACTGTGTTTTTGGCCACTGCATGAAATTCATTTAATGCATGCGCTGTATTCCTGCATGCAAATAAAGTTCTCTCAGCCAATCAGAATTGTGACATACTTCCAATATGAAAATTATTGAAAGGCAATTGACCACTTGCGTAATAGACTAAATTTTGATCTCAACAAGTCTAACAAAAATTTCATCACAGCCCAATACCTTTTGGGGCTGTCAATTTCCCGTTTGTAATCTAAAATGACTGAATATTGCAAACTTCGCAAGGCTATATTATCCGCATTTTACAACATTTCGCAACGAAACTTTGGAATATTACTAATTTTGTGATCAGTGCTCTTTTAGTTTCAAGCTGTGATGAAATATTTGTCTAGATCAAAATTTAGTCTATTACGCAAGTGGTCAATTATCACATAAAGTTATTAAATCACTTGAATATTGTATATTATCAGTTGTTTTAATAAAGCGTTGTCATTGCGCACCAGCAATTGAACTGAACGCCTATAGTCTAAGAGTCATCTGGCAATTGCTTTGGGCAAAACATGTCTCTATTTAAAACGATATTAGCCTTTGTTCAGTTTTTTGCTTTCATCGGATATGGTGTCACTATGAAACATGCTATATTTAAAAGAAACACTGGAAAGTATTTACGAGATAGTGTGATCACAACGAAATATGCAGAAAGTGAATTAGAGTGTTCCATGCATTGTGCGAGCATCGACGCGTGCTTGTCAGTGAATTACAAAGCTAGCGGAGTGGATCAAGGTTTATGTCAACTCAACAACAGAATAACTTCAGAAAGTCTTGGTCTGGTTTCCGATGATAGATTTGTGCACCTTTCTATTGTAAAGAGGGTAAGATATTTCCTTATGATATCACAAATTATGTCATGTTCTCGAATACGTTAATCCTGCGCTTTAATAGGCCTTTCCTAACCATGTTTCTGGATACGCTTGCTTGCTTCTTCAAGGTTCGTAGTTTCAAAGACCGAAAAAATTCAAAGACTCAACTTCAAAATCTAGACTTTTTCGTGCACCAATTCGGCGGTAAGCTAACATTTTGGACAACAAAGACAATCAACTATACGACGCAGATTTTTTGTGGAAGATGGCAGTTGGGCAGACGTGCTCCGATTATGTTTAACCGTGGCCAAAGTGTGCAAAGACTGACCTTTGAGAGCAAACATCTATTGAAACATTTCAATTGTAAGCTTCTTTTTGACCCGATGATCATTCCTAGAATGCGTCTTCTCTTCGATATTTGTAAAAATCTTGCTGAAATCCACGATCCATTTTACTATAGCTAGAGAATCGTATATAAATCTTGCTAAATAATAGAAGTGTTTAAAGACTTTCTGCATATTTTCATATAGCTAATCCAAAGATTTTCGAAAGATCCACAATCGAATTCGAATTTAAAGCCTTTCAAAAACTGCCACCGAATCCTGTTTCCACAACAATGTTTGATCTTTTAATTTAAACACCAGTCAACGTTCACTGTATTCTGTTTAGAGTAAACCCAAGACGAAAGAAATTGCCAGAAAACTCAGCTGCAAAGAATTACTCGACGATGACAGGTAACCCGCATTGAAAATATACCACCATGCATATTGAAACAGATCAATGCAAATAAACTAACTTTTTTATATACTCATGGAACAGTTCTTCACTGTTTTCCTTAGATATCATGCATGTTCATTTCTTGTTGGTTTACTGTTTCTATAAGATGCACCTTAAACTAAATTCAACCTAATAGTATAAGAGGTACCCTAAACTAAACTAACTGAATTTATAGTGTTAGCTTGTCAGTTCCACTTCCCAAAATGCCTATAAAGCTATACACAGTCCTCCTATATAATCCCCGAGCCGGCGGCGCGAAGCGCCGTGCGAGGGTACTAATTCCCCCCGGCTATTTACTCCCGGGGAAACGAAAGCATTAGCGGAGTCTAAAGTTCATCAAATATCGCGGGCGTGGGTGACCAACCGTGGGTGGTCAT